GGAGGAGGAAGAAGAGGGGAGAGAGAGGAGAGAGAGAGAGAGAGAAAGAGAGAGAGAGAGAGAGAGAGAGAGAGAGAGAGAGAGAGAGAGAGGCTTAAAGCATTCTTACAGTCCCAAGGAGGTGCATAAGGCTCCTTCATGCCCTCAGCCTCTGAGATGACCATCCACACATTCATGAATATTTATTGTGCTTCATTCCATGCAATACTTCCCTACCCTCACATTGCGATATAACTCACAAGTTAGAATTAAAACAATGTAACTAAGACAATGTGAGACCCTTGACATTCCTAAGACTTCAGTCACCAAAGCCATTTGTCCCAACTTTTAAGAGCAATGTGTAAATAGAATGAAAACAAAGTAAAGCAAACTTTGCTTTCATCTTATAGAGGCAACACTTATATTTATAGCAGAAAATACACCTAGAGTCAACATGAAATCTAAGACGTAGTGTAGGAGTGTCGGGTTTTTAGAACTACATAAAGAAAGCTTAGACTAAGACTGAAAAGTGGCAGCCACTAAACCATTAGTAAATGTGTTTGGCACCATTTCATATTCCTTGATCCTTGAGTCAGTAGGGAGATGTGCCTACACACGTGTGCTTCCTCAAGATGCAGTATTCCGGAACCTACCTTCTCCTCCTACATCTACCTCTTATCTGCAGTTATCACATTCTGCCTGGGAGCCAGTCATTGTTGTTTTTCTTTCCTGAGGCTGATCCTCACCCTAGGACCCTAAGTATTAACCTGGGAACTTGTTCGAAAGGCCGACTCTCTGGGCTGTCCGCAAACCCATGGAATCAGCGTCTGCAGAGAGGCACCGAGTGAGAGGGCAGCCTCTGGGCCTCTGTCCTGGCATTTCTATGACTCATTTACTACCTTTACAGAATGCACTGGAAGCAACTGCCCTTTGAATCAGTATTCACTCTCTAGGGGCTCTTCAAACCACTCTAGTTTCCTGGCTTGAGGACTATGGATGAACTCAAAGTCTGTGCTCCAAAGCTGAGGCACATTAACTATGCGACCTCAAGCTTCTTGCTCACCTCCTCTGAGCCCCCACGTCCTTGTGATCACAGTTGTACCTTCCCTGACTCATTTCTAGGGTTGTTATGGAGACTGAGTGAGACAGTGAGTGTGGTGCGATGAGTCGCACATGAAATCAGTGTTTCCAAACTAGGGCTGCAAAGGAGAAACACCTATGGAGTTTTCCAAGCTGCTGGTGTCTGGGCTCCACTGCAGAGATTCTCATTAAGAAGTCTTCGAAGGTTTTGGACAGCAGTAAGCTTTAAAGTCCCTCCAAGTGAGTCTGAAGTGAGATCACTGTGGAGAGGGAACTACTTAATTAATGTAGGAAGTAGCCTGGCTCTCCCAGTGAGGGGGTCCATTTTCATCTTGGACTTGGAGTTAGAAGCCATTCTCCATCAGCAGGAAACAACTTTAAATGAGTCCACAGTTACCAAAGCAGAGTGAGGCGACTCTCCCTCACGAAAGGGGGAGGACACAGCTCTCAACAGAGGCCTCCATGGGATGCCATCTGGCATTCCCAGGTGAGACTAAGGACAACTTGGGCAGTGAGAGTTTCCAGGGCTGAGGACTTCCCCGAGCCAGAATTCTCTCCTCTTGGACCTGCTGACGAAGGTTTTTACAATCTTGATTTTTGTGTATGTGTGCATGTGCATTTGTGCATGAACAGGCACACTGATGAGGGAGGCCCCACGAGAGGGCACAAATCTCTGCGTGTCTCCAAATCTCATGGTGGGGATTACATGTGCAGGCCACCACACAGGTGGCCTTAGGTATGTAAAACAAATATTTTACCACCTGAGTCATCTCCTCGGCTCACCAACTTCTCAGTGCTAAGAACTGGAGGGCTTGTGTCAAGACTACTAAGAATCCCATTTAGTTGTTCTGTCTAAAAGCACGATGGTGGTGGTTTTAGATATAGTTTTACAGCAGACCATAGGCTCTAGTCCTCCCTAGTGATTTTCATTTCCTTTATCCAGCTCTAAAGAACCCCTTGCATGTCACTTGATGTAGATTTTCCAAGCCAAGTGCACCCAGCTTGGTCTTGACGGCAAGTTCCCAGTGCCCATGACAGGAACAAAACACTCTTGGAATTCTATCTTAATACTCCTTTCTATCTGGGTGGCTTATATAGGGTATGGAGTCATTTTCTTTATTTTTTATTTTTTAATTTAATTTTATTTAAATAACATTTATTTCATTTATTTTATATACTAACCATGGTTTCCACTCCCCCCTCTCCTCCCAATTCCTCACTTCCCGTTTACCCCCTTCCCCTTCTACTCCTCCTCTGTCTCCATTCAGAAAGGTGCAGGCCTCCCATGGGCTTGAACAAAGTATGGCCCATC